ATGCTTATTTCTTGCCTTTTGTGCCATTTTAAACGTGTTAGCATCCACCTTAAATCCGTATATTGGGAGAAAGGTGGGATATGGAAATAAAATGATAATAATAAATAATAAAAGTTATACGGTATATGTGGATCTTGTTTTAACTTGTTGAGATGTTTTTAACGTGTTGTACGCCGCCCCGATTGTGCTGCAGAGGGACGGGATAAAAAACTATTATTATTATTATTATTATTATTAAATATGGAACAGCACACACGCTAGGAAGAGGCTGCAGCAGTTTGCTTTTGCCTGATCGTACTAGGAAGGGCCAGATTCCAGCTCTCCTTTGAGTTGATGGAGTGCATTTTGAATTCAGTTTGCAGCAGTTGACTTAGATCTAGGATGAATGGGGAAAGTGGAAAGAGGAGAGAGAAACTGGGGCATTGTAAAAGCAAGGGGAAAAGTGAGACTGTGACTTCCATCTCTGCAGAATCTGTCAGGGATGCAAGCTGTGCCTTTGGTCCTGTTGGGGGGAATTTGTGTCTGAATGGCCCCAAGGCACATCTAACACTACTGCCAGCATCCAATTTTCCAAACCAGTTGAGAGCCTTTTCCTAGAAAGATAAAAGTGACAGTTTATTTTGTAATTTCCCACCCAAACTTCCAAGCTGCCACCCAACCATTAAAGCTAAAATAAGGGAAGAAAGACAAAACCTATTAGGACAACCATTAAAGCCTCAAGGATGATGAAGTCAAACATTAAAAACCTTTCTGTAGCAGTTTGTATTTTCTGCCTCGCTCAAGCGATCGGCTTTTCCAGGGATAAAAGGGGGAAAGGCCTTGTAAATTCCTCTTTCTTTTTTCACAACAACAGAAGAGGAATAACAAGCAGCATAATTCAATGCTGTGTGTTAAAAGTGTGGGCTAGAAAGAAAAGGACCAGGCTGGTGCCTAAAAATCCAGCAAATTTTTGGGAAATCCAGCATTCCCAAGCTTTTGTAAGGTCATCACAGAAATGGCCCAAATTTGGATGCTGGGGATACTTAGAAGAGATTATTTCAATCATTTATTAGCCCCTTTCAGGCCCCCCACAAGGGCGCCTGAGATGATGTACAAAGATCTTAAAAAGAGCATTTAAAACATTAAAATGCACAAACAGAAAACATTTAAAAACACCAGAACAACGTTATAAAAATAAGTGAGAAATCACAGACAGTTAAAACAGATGGAACAGCCATGCCTGATTTTAAGGAGCAAACAGAGAGCTCCATCCTATGGGATTTGTAGTCTGCTGGGGGACCTAGAATTCTCCAGTACACTCCCTTGAACTCCAGCATTACATAGAGCTCCCTGGCAGATAATTCTGCCTTTAAAAGGTTACAAATCCCAGGGACAGAGACATGGCAACCTAAGTGCTAACGAAACTGATGTAAGTGTACAGTGTGGATGCACCCAGAGCCTTAGCTGCCCACCGGAAACTCAAAAGGGATGGAGCCAAGGCAGCTTTCTTGGAGATGGGATCTTTTAAAAGGTAAGCAGTTTTAAGTGACATTAAGTTGTCCTTCATCGTGCGCATCTTGCATCGTCTATAAGCACATGTGCTCAGTGGGAAATGTATTCACAGTTACCTCCACACCATTTTTACAACAACGAGAGAAAAGGGGAACCCTACTCAGTTCTGGACCAGGTGAATGTCTCCTTGACAATAGGGGATCCTAGTTTTCTCTTTTTAAAATCTACATCTAAAAATGCCCTGTGCTACAATTTTTCGTATATGTGCACGCCTTGAAGTCTTGTCGACTTAGGGCAACCACATCAATTTCAAAGGGTTTTCTTAGGCAAGGAATACTAAGAAGTGGTTTTGCCAGTTCCCTCCTCTGAAATATCACCTGCAGCGCCTGGTATTAATTGATGCCAGTCTCCCATCCAAGGACTAACCTGGGCTGACTTTGCTTAGCTTCCAAGATTAGACAAGATCTGGTGCCTTTAGATAATTGGGCCTTTGCAAGGATTTTGTTTTGGGGTGGTGGCAGAGAGAACGCACCCCCAAAACAAGGCACTCACCCCAATGATGTCTCCTGTTTTAGGACTCCTGTCATTAATTGGTCACTTCCACCTATACAAATGCTTTCTAATATTCAGGATGGGCAGATATGGGCTGAATATACTTTTCTTGTCCCTCTAAAAAGTATACCTTTCTTGTCCACCTGGAAATACACCTTTTTTGTCCATCTGGAAATAAACCTTGTGCATCTAAAATATGCCTTTCTTGTCTATCTGGAAATATTCCTTCTTGACCATCTAACTATACTTTTCTTGTCCATATAAAATATACTTTTATTTGTCAATCTGGAAGTGCACCTTTCTTGTCCACCTGGAAATACACCTTTTTTGCCAATGCAGAAATATATCTTTCTTGACCACCTGGAAACACACCTTTCTTGTCCATCTGGAAATATACCTTCTTGATCATCTAGAAATATACCTTTCTTATGTATCTAAAATATGCCTTTCTTGTCCATCTGGAAATATACATATCTTGTCCATCTGGAAATACACCTTCTTGACCATCTAAACTTAGCATACTTTGCTTGTCCACCTGGGAATATACCTTTCTTGTCCATCTGGAAATATACTTGATTGTGTATTCCTGCTTGGAAAGGGGTTGGACAGGATGGCCCTTGTCGTCTTTGACAGTTCTATGATTCTACCCTTTCTTGTCCATCTAAAATATACCTTTCTTGTCCATCTGGAAATATAAATTTCTTGTGCATCTAAAATATGCCTTTCCTGTCACTCTGGAAATATACCTTTCTTGTCCATCTGGAAATATACATTTTTTGTGCATCTAAAATATACCTTTCTTGTCCATCTGGAAATATACATTTCTTGTGCATCTAAAATATACCTTTCTTGTCCATCTGGAAGTATACATTTCTTGTGCATCTAAAATATACCTTTCTTGTCCATCTGGAAATATGCCTTTCTTGTCCATCTGGAAATATACCTTTCTTGTCCATCTGGAAATACACATATCTTGTTCATCTGGAAATGTACCTTTCTTGTCACTCTGGAAATGTACCTTTCTGGTCCATGCAGAACTACACCTTTCTTGTCCACCTGGAAAGGTACCATTCCTATACCCGCACCCTGCTCCCATTGTTTCCCTGGTGCCCCACTGGTTTTGGGGAGGATGGGACAGGCCTTGCCCTCTTGCCAGCCACTTGCCCTGCTTGGACCCCTGCCTTGCCGGATATATAGGGAACGTTAATGGCCCCAAAGTGGATTTTTGCACGGAGAAACCGTTGCCTGGCAACCACCGTGTAAACTGAACTGGTCCCGGGAAGCCACTTGCGCCGTGTTCGCCTGCGTGCAACAATATTTCCTCTCACGCTTGCTGGGAGTGTTAGAAATCTCTAGCCTGGCTTACCCCAAAAGGCCAAAGGAAAGGGTTTTCATGCTTAACAAGAAGTCAAAATGGAGGTGGGTTAGAGCAAGCCTCACCTCGCCCACAGGACTAGGCCTCATTGCGACCGAGGCTGCTTCCACACGGAAAAATTAATGCCATTTGGCAATGCTTCAACTGCCATGGTGACATCCTATGGGATCCTGGGATTCATAGTTTGCTGTAGCGCTGGGGCTTTCGGAGAGACAAGGCTGAATGTCTCACAAAGCTACAAGTCCTAGACTTGCATAGCTTTGAGCCATGGCAGTTAAAGTGGTGTCAAACGGCATTAATTTTTAAATAATTTAATTCTACAGTATTTTAATGCCCAATTTTGTATGCTTTTAATGGTATTGTTTTTTTTAATTTGTAAGCCACTTTGTCTCCCAGTTTTGGGGGGAAAGTGGGAAGAAGAGGAGGAGGAGGAGGAGGAGGAATGTGTATAGGAGATGTATTATTATTATTATTATTATTATTATTATTATTATTATTATTATTATTATTGTTGTTGTTGTTGTTGTTGTTCTGCAGTGTAGGTGCAGTCTCGCCAGTGATGCCCATATCTTTGGGTACCACCTGGTCTTTAATTTGGATCTTCATCTGGCTCAGAAGCAATCCTGATGTCAGACTTCAAATACGATAGAGACAAATTGCCTCTGAGCATGTACGTGGAGCATTTCTGGAGAAACTCCGGCCTGTCCTCCTTCAGTTGTGTTTCGAAGGGTCCATGAAAAAGTGAAATCTCATAACCTCCTGTTTCAGAAACGGTGGTATTATTGCTATTTTCATGTCTTCACACCTAGTTTCCCCCAAGACACTCAAGGTTCGCTCCTCCCTGCTCTATTTTTATCCTCACAAGAACCCTTGCGGTGGGAGATCATGTCTGACTAAGGGCAGCCGGAGGTACTTTGCAGCCAAATATGGGACCTTATCACACGGGGTCTAAAGCAGACCTAATCCAAAGGGTATCCGTAGCTAATACATATTATTTTCCTGTGTTTACACACGACGTTACACCGAAACTCGACAGAACCCGGAGCTAATCCGTATTGTTTCTCCGTGTTTACACACAACGTTGCACTGAAACTCGACAGAACCCGGAGCTAATCCGTAACAAATTGAGATCTTTTGACATTCGGTTTTTCGGGGAAGTACAAGGGAGCTTTCGGAATCATTGCACAATGGCCACGTAGGCGAAATTCAGTTCATTTCGGTATAGAACTGAATTTATTCTTATTTCGGTTACTTTTCGCTTCGTGGCCAGCGTGTGATAAGGTCCATAGACTGACGCTTGCTGTAGTGCTTCCCTTAGAAAACCTTCTGGGAGCCTTTTCTGTGAAAGGTTGCAATATAAATGCCCTTATATAAATAATGATCATAAATATACATTGGTTCCCTCCACATTGGCCAAGAAATGTTGCCAGGTAAAACCTCTGAACAATGGTTTTTAACACCTTGCCTGATGAAGAAGCCAGTGGAGCTTCAAAAGCTTGCAATATGCATAATGTGCATTTTGGTTGGATCAATAAAAGGTATCACTGTTTTGTGGATTTTGGATGATGCAGTATATAAGTCAGGCATGTCCTAGTGGTCTGAGTGTTGGACTTTGACTCTGGAGACCAGGGATCGATTTCCTGCTAGCCATTAAACCCACCTTGGGCAAGTCACACCCTCTCAGCCTCAGGGGAAGTCAATGGCAAACCTCCTCTGAACAAATCTTGCCAAGAACAACCCCCTGATAGGTTTGCCTTAGGGTCGCCATAAGTCAGAAATGACTTGGAGCAACACAACAACAAAGAACCACATATGCACAGCAAGGTTTGGCAAATGCCAGAAGTGGAGGGCACTGCTGCCGGCTACTTTGCCTCTTCCTTTGCCTTTCTTCTCCTGATGCCTTTTTCTCCCATCCTTCCTGGCCACCACCGGCCATGTCTTGACATGCTTCTCCTCCTTCCTCAATATCACACCTTCCTTGCTGCCCAGCAGGTCCTTCTCAGCTTCGGGGCATTGCACCTCTCTGTGTGTATTGTCGGGATATTCTCTGCATGTGCGCATGTGGCAAAGGGGACAAGAGTTAGATGAGACTAGTTGATCTGTGGGGCTGAGGACTTCGCCCTTTTCCTGGTCATGTCCTACATTTCAACCTTCTGTCCAGGAGAAATTCCAAAATGCCCTCCATTTTGAGCATAACGAAGAAGCCCGTTGAGTAACACCACATTTGCTGTTCAACATGGGAAATGCATCAACATGGCAGCCTTTCCTCGCTGCAAATAGAGAGGATGGATTTTTAATACTGTGATTTGTTAATTGTTTTTAAATTGTTCTAGTTTAATACTTTTTTAAGGGGTGGGTGGGTCTGGGATTGGATGTAATTATTGGTGTTTTTATTGTTGTATGCCGCCCCGATTGCGCTGCAGAGGGGCGGGCTAGAAATACATTTTATTATTTTTATTATTGAAGTTTTTTTTTTCTTCTTAGGAGCAGCAAAGACTCACAATCAGAGCTCAGGGCACATTAGTTATGAATTTACATCCATATGTACTTTTTATTACTAAGTAACATCCAATAGACAGTTACAGTTTATTACATTTTAACAAAACAGATTTCAATTCAATTCATTGTTAGCATACTACCAATGTATCTGTTTAATTGTTTTCCAAGTCAGATCTTTTTTGTCTCAAGGATTTATGTATATGTATGTATGTTTGTTGTTCGTATGAGTTCTGTGTCTTTGCTGCATTAAATATGATATGTGTGACTTGTTTCTTAAATATTGTCTACTCCTGTTTCTGGTCCATTTATCCTTTGTTGCTTCGGTATCTACCAAGATTTTTTTTAAATTTTCTTGACTTTCAGTTTTTGATCTCTTAGTGTTTTTAGCTTTGATTTTGTAGCATCCTCCTTTTTGCCTTGAATGTCCTATTTTCTACCATGCCTTGTGTTCCTTTGCAGTTAAGACATCTACTCACCTTGGCTTGACATGCTGGTACAGAGTGATTGTTTCAGACACAGAGATGCAGATTTTTTGCTTCCTTGTGAAGATTTTTTAGCATGAAATTGCAAAAAGGATGGGTTGACCTCATATCACACACTGATCGAGCATTTCTCCCATCACACGTTTGACGTTGTATTCTCCTGTGAGTGGAATCAGGGTTCAAGTCCTCATGGTTTGCAACCATGGAACCAGAAGGTGAAAGTTACCAAGGGCTTGTTAAACTACAGTGAAATAGGTACCGTATGTGTGTGTGTGTGTGTGTGTCTCAAGGAATATAAAAGTGGTAGAGTTGTCATTGTCTGACTTCAAGTCGTTTCCAACTTATAGTGACCCTAAGCGCACCTATCACAGGGTTTTCTTGGCAAAATTTGTTCAGAGGAGGTTTGCC